ACATCCCTCTCACATCACCTACTCCCGTTACCTACACATGATTTTTCCTACAGTCACCGTATCGTGATAAAAACCTTTCCTTTCCGTTTACCCTTGCATCAGCGTATTGCCCTCCTAACCGATCCATATCCAATTCCCAATTCGATTCTCTCCTCGACTCCTTAGGACAACACTTCATCTTGGGTGGTCAGAACCAAAATGCCAAACATCAAAATGGGGTTCCAGAACCACGAAATACTCGTGGCCGAACCCTGCTGTCCTGCACTCAATTCCAATCATTTCATCTCCTTTCCCCCAACTCCTCCCTAAACTCACAGGCCCTGACGAGACCCAACCGTAATCCTGATCATCTTGATTTCTTTATCCACCAGCGGCTTAAGTCCCCTACAAATGGTTCCCATTACACGTCATAAATGAACTTTCCCCTCTGACCAAGTCCTCGTAAATCCTTAATGTTTTCACTTGAACACGTTCCAAACCTTCTCCACCGTCAATTATTAGGGGCCCAGTTTAACTGGACCTATTTCCCAAATCAGGCTCCGATAAAATAGATCTTAACAGTATCCCATCAAAACTCCCGATTACCTTGATAGTGCCGTAAATTCCTTAACTACCACAATCCACAGCCCCTGGTCTGCTTTCCTTCCCAAAAGAACTCCTCCAGAAATCCTAAAAATGACCATTCTACCCCCAACACCTCTTTGACCTATCCAAGACCTAAACGCCGTGCCAGATTAATTGTTGCAACGTACCCGACATCCTACCGACCGCTGCTCCTATAATTATTATTGCAAAAAATTAACAACAGGAATTAGCCACCTTCAGATCACATTCCTACAACTCCTACCTATCCGCCCTTTTCTTCTCGCTACAATACCCTTGGAAAACCACTACCAAATCTTAAATCCTCACCGCATTTCCCATCCCCTCCGACGAGATGAGGCGTCCTTGGCAGCATCTGACGAAGATTAAGGCTGAGGAGATCGCCATTCATCCTATCCAATACATTTATGTCACATCCGGAATCCCATCCTGCCCCACACCGTGTAACAGTAGAGAATTCCTTACATCACCAATCCCCACTGTTCCTGGCCCCCCCAAAGCAATCATCCTTCCGAAGTGAAATTCAATTAAAAAAATTAATCCACCCGTAAAGCTCCTGGACATGAATACTCCGTACCCCTCAAATCCTTCGACAACTTCCATCCAAAGCAGACATATTCCTTTACATATATCTACAACTGTACCTACGCACCACCCATCTTTCCCTCTGGCTATGTAAACACTCCACTATTATACCTTTTCAAAAACCAGGCAAACCTCCCAATATCTCAAACCTATAGACCAATTAGCCTACTCCAATCCTTTCAAAAATTTTTGAAAAGATCCTTTTGAAACGAATCCTACCCATTATAGAATCCCCAAAATATTCCTTCCATCAGTTTTGGTTTTCGCTCCCAAAATTCCACTGTTTCACCAAGGACTCCGAGTTGTTGATCTATTTCCTCAGCCCTAGAAAACAAGGAATACAGTTGCGAGGTGCATTTCTGGGACATTGCACAGGCATTTGACCGGGTATGGCACTCCGGACTGCTCTTCAACTTAAAATCCCATTTACCTTCATTCCCTTGACTAGTCCTCCGATCCTACCCTCTCTTGACCGCTCCCGTTCCGAGTTTCGCTGTGGAACAGAATTTTCCAATATCACTCCGATTAAAGCCGGTGTTCCCCAAGGCAGCGGTCTTGGGTCCCGGTTGCTTTACATCCTCTTTACTGCTGACCAATTCCTGTTCATCCCGATACTTTTCCTTGCAACATCGCTGACGACACGCAATCTTATCATCCAACTCTGATTCCCAACATAGCATCCTTAAATCTCCAAAACCACCTCACCGTTGATTGAGCACTGGTGTAATAACTGGCGCATTTAAAGTTAATGAAACTAAATGCCAACAATATACACCTTTACACTCCGACGGCAGATCCTTGTCCCACCAGTACACTTTAATCCATCCAGCTTCCTTACTCCAGAACACCGATCGGTATCTTGCTTTCATTTAGACCGAGAGACTAACCGGTGGAACCACATACTAGACTCGAAAGACAAGAACTCAACCGACGATACGCCAGCTATACAGACAACAAACAGAAATCCAAACTTTCTATGAAAACAAATTACTTATCTACAAGTCAATACTGAAACCTATATGGACATACGGACATGAACTGTGGGGAACAGCAAAAGCTTCTAACATCAAACGTATACAATCCTTTCAATCTAAAGTCCTACGAACAATAGTTGATGCTCCGTGTCTATGAAAATACAAATCCACACCCAAGACCTTAATATCCCATGTGTCCTAGACCTTATTTCAGAAAATTCTCCAAATTTTTCACCAAAACCTTACCTATCATCCGAATCCCTTGCACAATCCTATCCAGCCCACCCATCCTTACAATTCCTCCTCGAAGGTTGAAGCGCATTGGCCCAAGACCTTTTGTAAATAAGCTTCTATTGGAGTTTGGCAATTGGCCAGATCCTCCACTCAAGCCGAGTGTGGGTATGATTGGTTAGTTCTTTTGTTATAAACATTTATTTTATTTTATTGTATTTATTTTTATTTTATTTTATTGTATTTATTATTATTAATTCTGTATTATATTTATTTATTTTTTTTTTTTTAAATGTAAATATAGTGTGAGTGTGCATTCTGATCACTATTAAAAATGTCCTTGATGTGACAGAATGTAATATTTCTAAATAAACAAATGAATGAAATTAATAGCATGTAATGATGACCATAGTAGAAGAGGTTGGGATAAGAGATTTATGTACAGAAACACCAGCAGAGTGACTTTTTTTTGTTTTTTATTTATTTATGATCATGAGATTTGCAACTGTATAAATTAAAAATACAGTAAATGTGCACAAGGTAATAATGCAATCACATGAAAACGCTTGTTAAGAAACTAACCACTGGTAGCACTCTAATAATATATTCACATAAGTAGATCACGAGGCCATCTTCTTTTCATACGCCTCGGAGGGTTATCAGGTATTGAAGAGGAAGGTTTGAAACGAGAGGGTTCGGATGGTTCTGGAGTTTGTTATGGAATGATAGGTATCTGGATTTGTCCAAATCGGAAGCATATGGTACGTTAAGGTCGTTATGAATGATTTTATTTGTGACAAAGTAAGGAGCATTGAGGATTTTACGAAGGATTTTGGATTGTAAGGATTAGATACGAAAGGAATTCGATGGTTTAGTGGACCCCCAACGCTCAATTCCGTAAGTCCAGATTGTCTTTATTATAGTAATATATATGAGTCTTTTGTAATATATAGAAAGTTTAGAGCGTTTGTCTAGTAAGTGATGGATGTCTAGTAAGTGATGGAACAATTAAATTTAAATATAAACTGCGTTTGTTCATAACGATGTAGGTGAGGGCTCTCTAAGGTTTTTGGCCCGTGGGCCATATTGAGACCTCCATGGCTTGAGATGAAAAAAATATATCATGTTCTATTAATTACACTTTAGTTATGAAATTAGCTTCCTAAGAGATCCAACTCATGCAATAAATTTAATATTTTTAAATAGTCACTATGTAACCAAAGAATCTTTCGTGGGCCGAATGCAGCCCTCCCTCCCCATTCCCAATCCGTTGTTAGGAGAAATGTGACGTAGGTAACAAACGATATTTGTAATCGACTGCTCGATTTAAAGCAGAACTGAACCTCATAGATTGGGTGAAAGCCATTGCAGACGATTTAGATGACAGAAGGATATTTATAGACATAACCACCAGACGTCAAAGAGCCGATAGAACGAGGACTCTCTCAATACAGCCGACAGGCACAGACAATATGTTACCGAACCATCCCGCTCAGTGTAAACTCGAAGAGCACTCTTTGAAGTCGCAGCCTACCCAGAGCAGTCCGGAGCACGTCACAGCTAGATCTTGTTATGACAAATCGCCACGCATCTGTCACCCGAGGGGATCCTATTCCGAGCTGTCTATTCCTGTCTTCGGGGCTTCGGCAACTTGAGGGATCGTTCTTCTGTAACGGCTACCTAAGGAGTCGTTATCTCCCGGGTCATCTGTCACTTGCTGTAATGACTCTAATTGTAACTGTCACAGCTTTCTAATTAGTTACTAGAAACTTGTAACTGTCTTTTTTTGTTGTCGTTTGTCATTGGTATTTAATATGAAGATTTATTGAAAAAAAAAATGTATGTATAGAAATATCGACACATTGAGATATTGTAATTAATGATCATTAACGTACTGGCAAATAATTTTAATATTATATCAGGGTTAAAAAATATAATTTTTATATTTCAATATTGCTTCAACGATCTTAGTCAACTTTTAGAAATTAACCACCATTGACAATATATCTAAATGATTTCACAAACCGAATAAATAAATATGGTACTTATCAAAACTTCATTTATTTTACTGTTTATTTCGTACAGTTTTTACTAGATCATTTATTAAGTGAAACTTTTCTGTCACACTTATTGATTTAAGAACTATGTGCTCAATACGAAAGACAAAATATAACTGTTTATTATGCCTAAAATTAGTGTCTTGAGCTTTTATATGCTATATAAATTAGGCCATTATTCACTAACATTTTATTTATTAGCTATTTTATTACGACGTTTCGACCATCACTAGGACCATTTTCAAGTCTTATTGAGTCCTCATCAGATATTTATTATTAATGTCGTATTAATTTGTTCAGAGAAACATTAAATTGTCCTGCTATTTAAGAGCTTCCCCTACGTCATTTTTGGAGGGACTGTCTGTCAAAGATCACAGGATCGAACCCCGGCCCTACTTCCCAGTACGGACGGTCTCCGCGAGAAGTTAAGAGTATTACCCTCTTTATTAAAGTACCATAGGATTATCTTCAGTTCAGAGCTCTGAATTTAAACAAATTAAGAGCCGTTAGCCGTCTCAGAGTAGAAAGTAAAGATTTTATGAAAATATGCTTAAAAGATGCTACTTTGACTATTAAATCCAGTGAGGTATGTGGTGCATGCAACTGCCTTGTAACTGACCCGGTAACTCGTTTTCTGATCCAATGTATCAAGTTCACCGAGCCGAGAAATAAGTACTTGAAGGCATTTATCACTGAATCCAGAGAAGATGCTAGTGTGGAGGAGATACTGAAAATAGACACTACGAAAAAAATAAACCAACTGTATTATTTTATACAGGGCTGTTCATTGAACTGTTAAGTGGTAAAGTTAATCATATAACATATATTAATGCTTATTTATATTGTCATTTGTCTTATATTTCTCGAATATTAAAAAAAAAAATGTTTTACTAATTGTTATGTATATATATATATATCTATATCGTTTACTAATCTGTTATTATATTAGTCATACTTAATGCTGTGGACATTGTTAATGTTATGTTTGAATGCAGTACTAGACTCAAGATCTAACATTGTTAATTATACCATTATATTTATTTGTACAGGAATTTCCTTAAACAAATTTTTATTATTTCAATGGAATTTACAACTGTATTACATAGAGAATACAACAAGTAAATGAGAATCTTAAACAAATAAAATAAACTATCTATCTATCCCTCTTTATTAGAAGAGGCCTACAGACTGCAAAATACCTGTAAGAACAGGCTAGGAGAATATCACTAGACTACAAATATACAATTGATCGGTACGCAAATGACAATATTACCTAAATATAGTAAACACGATATTTAAAGTAACGGCTGTATTCAGGAGGTTCTCCTGGATACCACGGGATCGGTCGATATAATATAATTGTATATATATATATATATATATATATATATATATATATCCAGGTTCAGAGTTCGAGTCCTGCTGTCACCTGTATTTATCTATTCTGTAACTAAGATCAGTCGGTAATTATATTATATCGACCGATCTCGTGGTATCCAGGAGAACCTCCTGAATACAGCCGTTACTTTAAATATCGTGTTTACTATATTTAGGTAATATTGTCATTTGCGTACCGATCAATTGTATATTTGTAGGCTAGTGATTTATATTCTTTCCATTCATTCCCTACTAACCAGTGATTAGCTAATAGCCAACGGCAGAGGCGTTTAATAAAAAAAATATTTAGGTCCTTTATGGCGACATCGTACCTTTTTACCGTGGATACTGGTCTGGTGAACACCCAGCCCTGGCAATATAACATGCCGTGCCAGAGCAATAAGCAATTAGCTCTGCATTTAATATCACCACGAGACCGCGAGCAGGTAGTGCTCGCCTAACCCGGGATTAAGAAGCCATTAACCAGGAGGCAGTTATTAAATTAAGTTAATCCGGGGCTAGAGGACAGAGGGAATAATATCCGACCTAGCGACAGTCGGCTGCGCCCCCCGATTTATGGGGCCAATAAAGGAGCGGGGGGGGGGCGCGGTTTTATGTCGCGTGAGAGTCAGGTGCTCTCCTGTCGCGGGAGCTGATTTGTAGCGTATCCGCATTGCCGTGTCGCTTCTGTCTCCTTCTTCTCATCCAGTTTGCTTTATTTTGTTTATTTTTCTGTTTGTTAGTGATGGTAGTGATGGTAGTGATGGTAGTGATGGAAGTGATGGTAGTGATGGTATGGTCTTCTGGGATCAACAAGGAACTAATCACTAGTTAGTTGAGGAAGGAATGGGAGGGATATTAACCACTAGCCTACAAATATACAATTGATTGGTGCCCAAATGGCATATAGACTATATAGACTATATTTATACAGGATGTCCCGTAATTTGAGGTTAATATTTAATACATTCATAGTAGATATCAAAATCTACAAAAAAAATCATATGCATAGCAGCAATATTAATATTTTTATGTTTTTTAAGCGAGTCACGTTTTTTGATGAATAGGAAGCGATAACTGAAAGAACATTTGATTTTAGTATCTAAACACAGTCCCATAGTAAACTTTTTTTTATTTTTTTTATTTAGACATATATTATTCTGTCACGGGGACAATAATTATATTGATAAATGAACGCATTCACACCGTATATACAAAAAAAAATAACGAAAATAAAATAATAATTAATAAAAACTATATACAATAAAAAATAAAATAACCTAAATATAAGTAAATTAAAAACATAAAAATACATTCATACCTATATACAATATATACAATCAGGCGGGGAACCCAAATCCCTGCGCTACTCTCTCAACCGCCTCACCGGAGCTAAAGCCGGTGGAGTTTGAGCGAGAGCTCTTAAGCCACATACACTCATGTCTTGAGTGGAGAATCTGGCCATTGCCAGAACTCCAAAATAAATATTATAAAAGATCTCTGGGCCACTGCCGCTTCAACCTTCGAGGAGGGTTGTAGGGATGAGTGGAACTAGATAGGGATTGGGCTAGGGAATTTGGATGATGAAAACATGTTTTCTCATTTTAAACTGCCCTAAAGATACTTCAAATTGTAATATAACAACAAAATTAATGAATAAAATATCTTTACACTGATATTATTAATTCTATAATCATATAATAACAACTCTAGAATCATATAATAACAATTCTATAATCATATAAAAATTCTATATCATATGAAAATTTTTCAGGGATAAGGTCAAGGACAAATGGGATATTAAGGTCATGATGTAATAGTAACTAGTAGTAAATAGTAAACTAGACAAAATTTATAATTGTGGGTTAATGATTGACTGTCGTGAATGATGAAGTGAAGAATGGTTGGGGTGATTAGTCAGAAATAAGAAGGCAAAAATAAATAATATTTACTTTGACATTTGCCGACGTTTCGACCTGAAGTTCAGGCCTTCTAAGATCAGGGCTAAGAAAAGAACCAGATAACAAGGTATGAGAAAACATAATGTAGGTAAAAAAGTAAAATGAAGTGGGTAGAAAAATGACAATAATAAGAACTAACAGATACATAATAATAACAAAGTGTGGAATGATGAAGTAAACATAATCGAAAAATGTTATATACGTTGTCAGTACATTTTGATAGACTTTACAATATCTCAATTTTCTATTTTCAATAATTTAATTTTAATATTTATTTTCATTTCTTATATAACTTCATATTCCTTTTTTCTGTTTTATATTTTATTCTAAGATTACCATTTTAATACTTATGTCACATTTTTCGATTATGTTTACTTCATCATTCTACACTTTGTAACGGTTATTATTATTTATCTCTTAGTTTTTACTATTATCATTTTTCTTTCCACTTCATTTTACTTGAATTTTGTTTACCTAGCCCTGATGAAGGTCTGAACTTCAGGTCGAAACTTCGGAAAATATCAAAATAAATATTATTATTTATTTTTGTCTCCTTATTTCTGACTGATCACCCCAACTATTCTTCTCTTCATTAGACAAAATTTACTTTAAACGAAAGTAGAGTTAGTAATTACTAAAACTATATAAAGAAGACTTAAGCGGACAAACACGGCAAAGTTACGACGTTAAATTATCTGTGATTTTTTTTATCGTCGTTCAACTGTACTACATTATCCATACTTTTAAAATCAACTTCCTCGTTTAATAAGCTTTCAGTCCATATTAATTAAGTTGAGCTTTATAAGGAATAAAATTGAGATTTTCCTCAAGTTATATGAAGAAATAATTTGATTTACCTAATAGTGCCCGTGTTTCCTGCAAAGCTTATTACAATTAACTATTTCAAAGCTTTTATTTCTTGTTTTCCGTGATTTAACATGTATTTTAATATAAACAGAATTGCCTAAAAAAACATTTCATTTATTAATATATAAAAGTTCAAAATTAATGACTTTTTAAGTAAAGTGGTTATAAAACTGTTTTTTATTTTCCTCCCAGACCTCAGTCGTAGTAGTTGATATGTTTTATCAGTTACAAACATAATGTTTCTAGCCCTAATATTTACATTTTCATGAAAATAATTGAAGCAATCAGTAGGTTTCTTTAGTTTATACGTAAATTTTAGTAAGAAGCATTATGTGTGTCACTGATAAATAGATTTTTACCAATATCTACCATATATATATATATATATATATATATATATATATATAGATCATTTTTCCGCATCTCATGAAAAGTGACGAATACCAATTCTTAGAGTTCAAATTTTACTTTAACTACAGGTTATTGAAAAAATGTAGTTTCAAAGGTGTAGTTTCAAATGTTTTCCAAAAAGTCCAAACATTTTTCGATGCAATATCGAATAACTCTTAAATGATATAGTTGCCATGGAATACTTAGAACATGTTACGCCTTCTATGAAATAAAAATAAATTGGAAAGATAAATATAGCCACTTCAGATAAAATAGAAAGAATCTTCCAGTAAGATCGTAGTATCACAGGATTAGACTTTTACATCCTTAGTAATTTTTTTTTGTTTTTTATTGAGTATTACAACAATCTGTGAGGTAGGATAACATTCACACTATATGTACAAAAAATATTAAATAAATAGAAGCAAAATAACAATAAATAATATTCAAAAAGTATATACAATAAATAAAATAAAATATCCTAAACAAAAAAAAAATTAAAACTAAGCAAAAATACATGCATACCTATATACACTAATCCTTAGTAATTAAAAAAAATATCAACCAATGCCGTAATGCACTAAACAAATAGGTCTTTAGCTAGTACACTAATGGAATAAGTTAAGGGATAACTATGCCTTATCGTTGAAGTATTAAATCGGAGAGATATTTTGTAGTGGGGTAAGCTATTGAATAAGTTGTTACTTTAGCAGTAGTGGTGAAAATGAAGGCTTATTAATTGTCTGTGTTGAATAGGTTATTTTGATATTATTATAGTTTAGATACAAATAAATTCACCTAAATACAAATAAATTATAGTTTTCCTGAATTCACCCCTATGTTAATTGGATCAGGAAGAAGGATTTCTGCCAAATGTGAGAATCTTCGCTAGTTTAAACTAGTTATATTTAATTTGGAATAATTACACTAAAAAAAAAAGTTTAAACAGGATGCAAATTATCGATATTGTACAGTTTTATATTATTGGTCCTAGATATAAGATTATTAATTACATCACAGGTGTGTTGATCCAATATATGTTTTATCATGATATAGTTAGGTAGAGAGACGATAAAACCTCTGAGTTAGTGACGTTAGAACATGGTGGAGCCATAGAGAGATGACTTACGGCCGTACCCTCAAGTGGAACTATTCTTCACACGTGTTCTTAACCTAGGGCCACGTGTGTTATAAACTGCCTGTCTTCGTATTTACGACAATTGATTCTGCCTCAGTTATTTCCAGATCATTTCATTTCTTTACTTCTCCTCGTTCAATAAACTAGCATTGTTAAATGTTTACAAGCAGCTCGTCGTCTTCAAGTAATATCTCAGATCTAAAATATATATTATATTTTTAATATAACATTCCGAACCTTTTATTACTTTAACCAAACATTCATCGTGTCAACAATTAACGACCTAAATTATATGAGAAATTAAAAAATAATAATGCGTAGAGTCTCTATAATGTAAATCCTTTAATCAATTAAAAATATTCAAAAGTTGTTTATGTTTCATATTTCGATTTTTTTCGTGCAATTTGATATTTATGTTAATAATTTCCATTTGATCGTCTTGAACTTCAAGGTCTGACACGGTTTTCGTAGTCGTTTTTTAGGAATTTTTAACCGGACCAATTAGGCATATTTTTCTATCTTATTCGTTTTAGTCCTTCTCTCTGTCTTGGTTGATATTTAGAAGATTTAGAAAAAAAGAGATTAAAGTATTTTGAGTTGTTTGTCAAATAAGTGTCTTACGTTTCATTTTTACATTTTTACGTGTCATTCTACTTAATACATACACATACTTACTTAAACCCATATGAACGTACTCATAACAAATAAACGGTATCGCTAAAAAAAACCCACCTACAAAAACTTCAAACCTTCCAATCATTTGAATTATTGCGATTCATAATAAAAGCACCATGGTACGTAACTAATCTTGTATTCTCAGCACATTTACTGATTCTTAACAAAACGTTTACGACACAAATAAAATTTTCGTACCAAAAAAAAAGTTCCTCTTCTCTGGAATAGAAAAAAAAAATTATTAATTTTAAACAGCTAAAAAAAAAATCGTCGTCGAAGATTTGAACACTTAAACTAGGTTTAAAATGTAATCTGTGAACTCAAAATTAATACGATCATATCTATTAACAAAATAGTCTTTGTATTTTGATATATTTTTTATTTAAACGTCTTCAATTTGTCTAATATGTATATCAATTGGAATCAAAAGGCGTTGAAAAAAAAAACCGAAACACCGGAGCCTATTATAAAGTATAATGAATTCAGGTGCTAAATTCAGGGCTTTTATGTCTTTTATTTTTGCCAATTTGACTATGTCCAACCATAAATATATATAGCTTAACATAAATGATCGTTGTTGAATCAATATTTTGCATTGAATAAATTCCAATCTGTCCTTGGTATTATTGATAGATTCGAAATT